TTTTGTGTTGTCCGTCATACCTGCGCATTACGCAGTGCGCAAAAAATGCTCCCACCCCGTGTCCATTGGTCAGCAGCAAAGCGCTTTCAGGAATGTTACTAGCGATTGCCAGTAGACTGTTGGCAGCAGTTCTTACCTAAGCCTTGATCCTCCAATCCAAATGACTTTCAGCCTGCTTCGGATGAGATCATTTTGCCCATCCATATATAATGAAAAACCTCCCGATTTCTGTTCCAGAAAGGCAGCGAGCGAAGTCATCATATCTGTTGAGCACGACGAAACTAATCACCTCCGGCGGACTGCTCGCAGCTTTCGCAACCAAATCTCACCAGTGCTTGACAAGATACAGGCAACGTATCTCTGGTTCCACATCCCGTCTAAATAGACTGCCGACCTTCGAACTTGCCGCTGGTTTCGAATTGCCGTCACAAGTTCATCGCTGATTCGACAGTCTTCGAAGTGTTCAGCAAGATCTTGGTAATCAACCAAGCCTGTTCTCAACTTCTTGTTATACGCCGAGACCATTTCAGTAACCTGAGAGCGGTTCAGGTTTTATACTGTCGGATTCACTGAGACTTGTTATGAAACCCTGACGAAGATCACAATACCACCACATGATATTCTAAACTTAAGAGTCTTGAGCTGAGACGCAGTCTTCCATCGGAGAGCCCGTATTCTGTTCTGGTCGGGTATCTTCCAATTCGGTATTCAAATCTTTCAAATCTTTCGGTATTTTTCAAAAGTCAACCAAATGTGCCCTGAGAATCAGGCTTTGATTGTCCACGTGTAGACAGATATCCGCCGATGCCGCATCGGCGATGCGTCAGTGAGACAGCGGCCCCCGTTCCGGTAGGAACGTGGGCATGCGTGCGAGCTCGCTTGAATAGATGGTCTATTATGTATCAACCCAATGACCTTACAATTAGATTCTCATCAGCTACACCTCGTAGAAGCGAGTTCTAAAGGGCCTGTCCTAACGTTCTGTGGCTCACCTGTTTATGGGTCACCCCAGAGTTCGGGAATTCTTCCTCCAGATTAACCAGGATGCTACTCGGTGTAGCGTTTTGACTCGCGTACTGCTTGATGGCCCGCGAGATGTGATGCGGCAAAGGTTTACGTTTCATCAGACGGGTACGCCTTGTATGGCAACCTTGCATACGCGACAGTCCAACATCAACCCGCATTTTGTTAGTCAGTACTACCTGACTCAGGGACTACCACGTTGGTCCCCTCCGGCTTCACGCGAAACTTTTTGTCGCAATTCTCATGGCGACCACAGCGATATACTACAACGTGTGGTTTCTTCGACCACTCAACGATTAGATGGTAGTTCTTCTTCAGATGGCACTTTGCCTCCTCAAAAGGGCACTTGCCCTCAGGGACTTCAGCGAACTTGACGAACGAGAGACCCTCTTGGGAACGAGCTCCCAAGAGGAAGAGAGATGAACAGTTAGAGGACTTTGAAGAAGAGGTCCTACTGCTTCGGCAATGCCAGTTTCAAGAAAAGTATGGCACTCGCGTGGCAGGGCGTTTCGTGGTAAAGCCAGCCACCTTGGCGAAGATGCGTGTGCGGAGAATGGTACCTCTATCCTGTCCAGGTGGAGCTTATCGGCTTGCCTCCTCGGCCAGATGACCCCTTCCGAAGTCTTGTTGCACACCGCTAGAATAGCTAAGCTCGGACGCTGTACGGGTGTCTCCTCTATGCAAGCGGCTGGCGCTGAGGTTCGCGCCGAACTGTTGATGGGTAGTTTCGACGATGCGTGGAGCAAGCGACTAACTGATGGTTACCAAGATATCCTGTCCAAGCACAGGCAGAACGGCCGAGCGTCCATAGCTCTCAATAAGGCCTTCCACCCGGGTGGTCATGGCTCGAGAAACTCACACTCCTATCCCTCCACAATTCGCCCGAGACAGAGTGAAGTCTGCAGACAGTACGGCCGTGGTAACTGTCGCCTTTGTCGCAACTGCAAGTATCAGCGCATCAAGCAGCAGGAGCCATCAACCAGAAATTCTGGTCTAGAACCAAGTCCGAGGATCATCGAAGTACGTCGAAGAAGCACTGAGCATGGGTTCTCCATCGTTGCTTATGGTTTCCCTCTTTGCCGCCTTATCGGGCAGTCGCGCTCGAACTTTCCTGCACTAATCTTCCTGCTGTGCTTTCCTCTTACTCGATCCACATAGTCAGCGCCTACAGAGTAGCGTGTAGCTCTAAGCTTCTTGCGCTGGTTAGTTGGGGGCATGGAACAAATAAAGCTGCGGCAAACTGAAACTTGCCTCTCTGTCAGACTCGCAAGCTCGCGACGAACCACTCCAGCAGAGCCCGACACCAACGCCGAAGATCACCCCGCCTAGGAGGACACAATTTGGCCAGGAACACGTCGACAGCACAGCATTCGAGGACCACGTCATATACTGTCGGCGGATGGCGGAACAGCTGATGGACCCACCGAGGAAGTGGACCCAGGCGTCAAAGATGAAGGGTTCGACGATACGGTTGAAACCGAAGCACTTCTCACTGAAGAGCAACGCTACTTTGGCAAACTGATGGGGAATATCATCTTGAAGGAGGCGCGCAGCAGTGGCTTCGTGCAAGTGTTCCAACAAGTTCAGGGTATCCCGACAACAGAGCAAATCTCCCAGCTGGGGACTGCCAGCACGGAAGCGACACGGAGCTCACGGGAGAAGATATCGTCCGCTCCCAACATGCCAATCCTAGCGAAAAGCGGAGGCAATCAAATCAGTACGGCCCTTCTTGGCGCCATGATCCGCGCCTTAGGGTGTCCGGATAGGGACGTCGAGAAAACGGCATCTGACGGCGTCCCAGTAGGCCTCAGCAAAGATATTCCTATTATGCCTTGCCCATGACTCATGGGCCATGAGGCTGATTTTTCGGGTGATTGAATCACCGTGATTCCATTGAATCTGAGTATTCTCAAGAATCGGGGAATCACAATTTAAATCAGACATTTTTCACAAGACGAAGACTATAGTCGCTACGCCGCACAACCGAAAGTGACAATTTCAAGAGAAGAAGAAAACCTCCCCTGTGAGGGTAGAACCTGATCTTCGCACCGAATACATGAACATTTCCCGTTACACTATATCAATGGTAAAACCTTTGGACGGAGATCATTTGTCGCGCGTGTACACATCGGTACTTCAAACTTCTTTTAAGATGTTCACTCGAACGTCGGAATCAACTAACTCCGGGTTTCTAACTCAGAAATTCTAAGTGAAAGCCCAAGTCCAACACCTCCCGTAGAGCTTCCTTTGAGAACCGGTAGCGTGATCGGGTGTTCTTATCCGACAATATCTCGAAGGGCATTTATGGTTTTTATGGATAATTCATTGAATTAAGGAATGCGTAATTCACACCGTGTGGTCGTATGTACTACACGTGCTAAACCTCCATTCACTTTTTCGCATCGTATGATATCATAACTGAACTGGTTAAGGGTGTACTTCCACGTGCTCGGAGCTGGGGTTCTATTCCCGGGTAAGGTCATACTGATAGTCTGTATGTACTACGTGCGCTATACCTCCTTGCACCGTCTTGTTTCGGATAATCTCACAGCTCAACTGATTAAGTATACGCTCTCACTTGATCGGAGCCGAGGTTCTATACCTCGGTACGGTCATTCTAAGAACCTACTTGCAAGCAGCTGACGAGGTCTACCGTGGCGCGCGCAGAAGTCGTGAATCAAGGTCGAGAATCAGAATCAGGGTTTGGTACCGGGGGCCCGGACCCCCGGTACAGAATCAAGATTAAGCGCCGTGTTGAAATGTGAGCTTGTGCATCATGAGTATGACCCGGATCATGCTCAAGGTGAGATTGCGGTATTGAATCTGAGCAGCTTTGAGGTTGAGTAAAAGAATCTCGACTCCTGAGAATTAATCTCGAATCATGAGTAAAATCCCAACTCTGAGTATTCAATCTCGAATTTATGAAATACTCTGACTCAGTGCCAAAAACTCTGGATCAGCCATTGAGTATAGATTTGAATCTTGAATCGTGATTAAGGATCAGAAATCGGATTCAGGGGCTGATTAAAATCAAGGATCAAGGATCTTGCTCATGATTACGTAATCTGACTCTGTCCCAAGCACTCATACTCAGAAATCTCGACTCTTTCTCGTGAGCAAAGAATTTGTATCAGTTCTCTCTAATCAAGGCGTGAGTTGAATCGTGAATCAGGATCGGAGTGTGAATTGAATTATGGACTCAGAATCATGCATCAGTATCCGCATACGGCCCCTGCTTTGCCCAAAGCTTCAACATATGCCATGACGGCATAAGCGCGCGCCAGGGGTGGGGGCCCCTGAGAGAGCGCGCCCAAACCTTTTACGCAATCACGCAGGTGCGACCTGCCTACTGAACAGGGCTGCAAATGAGAAAGCTAAATTAAAACGCGCCATGGGAATTGGCTGATCATCCGTGTATACATGTTCATGCTTGCATTAGTCACGCGCGCACAAGAATCTTGAGACTAGTCTCATGGGATATGAGAGGTTGATCGGATGAATTGAGATAGGGAGACTTAGCTTATGAGTGACACAGTAATGTACAGTTACGATGCGTTCCGTGATGAGTCCGAACTAATGCTCTGAAGTGAAAAGTTTCAGAATTGCTATCATGAGCGCAGCACAATGAGAAAACAGTACAGGCATAATGTGTGGCAGCAAAGATAGGTCCGCACAACCTATTACACGACATCCGAGACTACACATACAATCATACTGATATCTGACGCCAGCTTAGGGTCGTGAGGCATCATCTATAGTTGAACGCTCGGACACGATAAGATTGATCCGGAAATGATCTCCGGCAGCTCTGGACATTGTGCTGCACGACTTGTGCGCGCCATCTTGTGGGCTTTCCTATGCGGTTCTCTCGACGAAAGCTTCTAGTCACTCGAATCGACTTGCTGACTGCTCCGCACGACAGCTTTGGAGAGTCTCCGTTTCACGGGAGTCACTTCAGTCTCCGATGTGGTTCACACAGTTTATTCCCCCGCATGAGGACTGCCTGGTGCTTATCTCATTTGCTCTGCCTCACTTTCGCCGGTTCAATCGGCCCTCTACTCCCAACTAGAAAGGTTCATAGTGGTTTAGAGTCCTACAAGTACATTCCTTCGGCGTGGGGGAGAAAAGAGATCCCATCTTGTTGGAGTCATCAATGTCCTCGTTCGGCCAACTTCACATGGGACTTTTACTGGGATCAAATTTTGAAACTTGGAGTGAGGAACTTGGTGCTCGGTGGCTGCAAAGCCTACGTTACTGGTGTATTAAAGTGCTGGGGTTGGACGCCCTGCAAATTCGCTGCTTTGAAGGAGCGTGTGGCATCTCGAGGCGGCAAAATACTGATCGATCTAGACTTCGACGGTCCAAAAAACCTATACAACGAGACTTTTATCGTGAACAGCATTCGTAACTTAACTAAGTACTACCCTGGTGACGGTATACGTGTTACGTATGGGCCTCAGTATTTCGACAAAAGATCCCTGGTGAAAGTACTCAAAATCGCCGTGGAGACTGCGAATGAGCTCAACATGATCTCGGCGATCCGGTGAGTATCGGATTCATAGAGTCAGCGTGATCTGCGATACTTTCTCAAAAGCAGGTCCGAAATGGGGGCCAAGTATCTCGGACCCTTCGACTGGAATATTTTGAAGCAGAGTGGCCTGTTAAGGATCGTGAAGCTCATGTTCGTTGACGTTGTCGCGTGGCCTAAGAGGACACCCTTGTTCATTACTGACAAGTTTTCGGAAGACTTGATAGCCAATGTCTCTCGGGCTGGGCTAGATACTGATAAAATGATCCTCCAGGTGAGTGACTCCTTCCACAGTTGTAGAAGTTCAGCCGATGAATCACTCAGATTAACCCCTGCACTCCACAGATTAACGGAGACGATACTATGGGATACGCGAATATGATAGTCGACGCCCATTGTGATCCGAATGGAAACGGCACCTGCAAGTTCTACGAAATGTACTTCAACTATTTCCCCCAGCATCTCATTAAGAGCAAGATCCCCTTGGCGAAGAAGCATGGTCTCCATGGTTTATCCATGGACCGCAACTATCCGGAACAGACTGATCTCTTACCTTGGGACGAACGCTCTATGTTTTATACCTTGTTTACCAATATGTGATGATGTCTGTTAACTAAACCATTTCATAGGCGACTGGAGGATGCAATTCGGAGCTATTTTCATAGGCGTCCTCAAGATGCTGTATCGGTGAGCCTTGGTCAAGTTACAGCTCACTGTAAGGCGTTTCAGTGACTCGACGGGGTTTCCCGAATATGAGTTGAAGTCGCATTGCGAGATTCCATCTACTTTTTTCACCGCTAACACTGGCTAGTAGTAGAGTTTGTATATTCAAGAGTGGCCGCGGGGCGCGATACTCCATCCATCACATCGTTGAGCCGATTCACATCGTCTGAGAAAAGAAGGGGAAAATCCCGACTTCGAGATTCCTTACAGCAGAACTTAACACCCGGAGGGTCGATTGGTATATCAATTTGATGACCATCTCTAATAAGAGGACCCGGTTCATCGTCTTTCATCAAGTTCATACTTAAGAGCATCAATCTCGCCCCGGCGGGCAAGTTTCTGAGAGGATACGCAATTAGCCATTGGAAACTTCAGGGGTGTTCAAAAGAGCCACATTCGAGCTCAGGAGCACTTTCAGCCTGGGAGTCCCAGGATAGTGGTGGACGAGAGAGCATTCAATGAACGACGATCAAGAGCGATCCCAGGGGTGAGATCAGAGGTGCTTTCCAACGGGTTAAATGAGGTTCGCGTCCACCCCAAGAGTGTTCCTCAGAGAGCGAATTTCAGGAGACTTCAACCCGCTCCTAAAACTCACGTTATACTATGAATTATACCTTTTCTCGCAATCTTGGCACTACTGTGGAGTCAGCGGAGTCCCATAGAAGCGAGCTCAGAGAAGTGATCCGTATCACGCGAACAGGGGCCATATGCGGATGCAGATTCTGTCGGGTGTTGCAGTCTGCAACTTGCAGAGTAAAACAGAAAACCGTCATACATGTCTCCAGGAGCCTGAGCAACCTCATAATAACACGACGACCGAGCACAACTCACATGTGAGATGCTACTGAGGAGCTCTGATGGTGCACGACCAATTGGGAATGCTCTAAGGTCAACCCAAAATACAGGGCCAGTCGAAGCAATCAGCAGAGAGCTCGGATCAGGTGCCTAGGAAATTCGTCCCGGCCCGGGACTCCCGGGTAATTTACCCGGGGTAAAGCTTTTCAGTTTCGTGAGAAGCTTCCCAAGAGTGTACCTAGCCATAGCTCGATCTCGATCCCAATTCAAGGAGGTAGAGTCAATCATAACTTCAACTTGAAGTCTTCAAGTTATTAACTCGTGGTAAGCCGGGAAATGCTTGCGCTAGGTCTAGAGGCCATTTTACTCACATCATCCATCCCGGTTTGCTGTTGCCACGAACTTTCCACATGGGCTGAATTCAACATAGAGGACCTCATCGTCGTGATCGCGCAAAGTTAACACAGAAATGGTAAGGACCTGAAAGCATCTTCAGAAATGTAAGTCAGTAAGGATGGTGTCAATGTCAATGTTCATTGTGAGTGTCGTCACTTGCCGCTTTCTTAGTCAACCTTCAGTTGATTCAGTTGAGTTACCTCCTCCTCCTTTCTGGGTGTTACTTCATTACTACCATACAATGTGATGAAGCGAAAGTGTTGGTCGGGATGCGTTTGAGACTCGATAGTAGGACTCCTCCTCCTACTGTAGGAGGACTTCGCCTAGACGATTCATCAGTCATATGCAAACACAAGAGTAAAGGGTATTTGTAGAGATTGATTAATTTGGAAGAAAGTTTCAGACTCAACAAAACCCGAGTTTCTAGCTGATGTTGGCTATAACTCTCTGTGTCAAGATTGGTGATGAGATCCATCGTCACCATTGGTTACAGCCGATATGCTTTTATCATGACTTGGATAGTGCTGTGGAGGAACTACTACACCTTTTGAACATCTAGTTAATCTTTGAAACCATCAATTTCGTCGGGACGCGCAAAGTTGGAGGTAAGAATCCGAAACGGGAAGATCATATTCATAATTAGAACTTTCAACCTCTTCAATTCTATGAAGAGTCTTCATAGAACATTCAAGTTCGTCCGAAGTCGATCGAAGTTCAAATTCGTGTTAATAGAGCTTTCAATTTCGACTTTCGAACCTTCGAATTCGTCATAGTACTTTCAATTTCGTCGAGTACACCTTCAGACGGTCTGAAATTGTGGCGAAATTGATGGTCTGAATCAGACCTTCAATCAGACCTTCACGGAAGTTCTCCTCATTCTCCTCCAAAGCAACATCTAGCTCTACTCTATCTTTTCTTCATCAAAAACTCTCTCTATTGCTATCGCTATTCCTATGATAGAAATTCTATCACGAAAAAACAACAGTCAAGAAGGCCAGCATACTAAAAATGATCTTCACATGAACACTCTACACCGAAGATCAAGCGAATCCACAACCCCTCATCAACATCCCCACCATGAACCAGCTCAAGAGTCCTACTTCTATGTTTTCTTTCGATAGTTTCCTGTGATCTATTCTTTAGACTCTCGCTCGGATCGAAGTTTCCGTCAACTCTACTAATCTGACACAGGACGGCAGGTCTGCAATGACCGCTTGGAGGGGATTCGAAAGAGCCGTCGCAGCTCCGACTCAAGTTTTGCAAAGACTGTTGCCGGGTTCTGAATAACCCTAATAGAGCCAGAACCGGAATATACAGCTCAACGATGAGGAATAACGTGATTGGGCCCACGAGTTGCGGTACGGCTCGCATCGCTCGAGATGGCGGACTACAAATTCTTACGAATCACCAGTTCTCAGCCACGGCCAGATCAAACATAGCAGCGTCCTCATCCCCCACAAAACTTCTTCTTCACACACGAATCGTCTGTGAGGTCGGCGACAAGTCATCTGAGACGATGTCTCGTGTACCATAGTATCATCTTGCTCTTCGGATTAGAAACTCAATTCTTCTTGCTTGTGCTTTCCGAGGTTGTTTGGCTCCTGTCTGCTGCGTCGCTCCTCGGCACTTTGGTGTCACCTTGTGGGTCACCGCTCCTATTTCTTGATATTGACTCGCAGTTCGCTGCACTGCCCACGTTCGCGTGGCCGAGTTGGTCAAATCATCAGAAGTGTAAACATCATTATGATCATCATCATCATCATATGATGCCATATTACTCATGAACCCGAATTACATAATGCCATTATGACATAATGATTATGTAAGTTATGTCGAGGTTTCGTGATAATCGACATCACGTGAATCATATATCATACATCTGTGGTTCTTATATTGTAGACTACAATTTGTAGTGCTATCAAAGGGGTCTCTTGCAGTTTCTTTTCTTTCAATGACATATGCAGTACTTCTTCACGAGCAGTAATCAACAAGAGCAATGGTACAGCTGATAAAGGCTGGCATCTCTAAGTCATGAGGCCAAACAGTAGACCAAGTATAACATCAGGAGTAGT